GAAAAGTGTAGCTGAAACCACATATACATTTTTGTTTAAATAGATTGCCCCCCTTTAAAAATGATTACGGTTAAATCAATTTCTGGGAAGAGAAAGATTAGTTCAAGGGTCTTGAGCCAATTGTCATCTTTAACTACCCTCATAGAACAGATTGCTGCTGCTTTATCTACAAAGCCTCCATTTGTATTGTCAATTCCTTTGTATACTTGAACAAAAATAGTCTTGCAATTAAAAATAATTACTTAAATATTCTCAATGCAAAGTAACACTGTTATTTAATTCCATTTGTCTATGGTATTATGCTATTATGGTAATCTAACAATATTGTGTAATTACTAGTTTCAGTGATTTTTAAAAATATAACTGGTAGTTTCCTGATAGTTTACGAAGCTAAATATGGATTTCGTACCCACAGAAATGTTTCATTTAAAGAAAATTGTACTAGCTTGGAACACCTAGAAGCGCAAGAAAGCTCTGACAATAGAAGGAATTTGATACAAAGAGGGGTGTGGGAGTAATATAACCTAGTATGGAAGGGGAAATGTTCGGTGGAAATGACTGAACGCAAAATTGGCTTTGCTGGGCAAACATACACCCCCAACGACGAACTGGCTACATGGACATCATTTTCCTGGGTTTTTTCTTTACCACTTTTCACTTGACAAAGAATTAAGTATAAAATTGAATAACAATAGTTAATTTTTCAATAGCTATTAATTGTCGTTTGCAATGTATGAAATTAACCGAATTATAAATTTATTTTTGTAGCAGTTAAATGTTGGTCACCATTGTCAACTATTGAACTATAAAACTCACGATTAATTTAACGTTTGTATTATTTCATGTATAGTTTTTGTATTGAAAATATATTTCTGCAATAATAAACCACTTTTTATTAAAATAAAAGTGTTAGGTACTGTGTAGTATTGTAAAGATTTAAAACTACTCATAAAAAGTACCAAATTTAATGTATATTTTCATTTATTGAAGAATGTTACCTTTTTTGCGAATTTCTCTATAGGGAAGTAGCTATTACCAGGTGGCACGGAAAGACCTAAAAACAGATTAAATTTTCCATTTTGGTGTCCACACGTTAAAAAAATGATTCATTCTAATGTGTATGTGTATATAGATAGATATATATGTGTGTTGTCCGTAAACAGATAATTCGAGTAAGGTTTGATTACTTATAAGGTATCATTCCTAGACTAAAAATAAACTCAAATATAAAGTAAACCATTTCAAAACCTAAAAAAAACCCATACACCTGAAATTTTTTATAAAACTATTTTTTACTTGTTCACGGTTTTTTAGTGAACTGAAATTATGCTGATACATTATTAACGCAAAGACCTTTAAGATTTAAAATCCCCGTGATATGGAGAAGAAGAAAACAGTTTTAGTTGGCTTGTTTATGGATATATTTCGATTAAATTTCTGTATTCTACTCGGTTTACAATTATTTTCGTATTTGAAGAAACCCCAAACCCCACCACTATGTCTTATATTAGATTCCGTATTCCTTGTGTGTAAGACACATGTGTTTCGAGACGTGTTTGTGATGTGAGCCATTTATCTTGGTTCTTTCTTTTTGTCTCTCATCCATGTCAACGCTAAAGTGTTCTACAAAGAATAATGGTTACCAGAACATATACTTACATACAATAGAATGTTTAAGAAACAATACAAATAACATTTACCCCATGCTGATCCGCAGCATTGAAATAAACATCCTATCCGAGAAATAATCAATATAATTTGTGATTGAGTAGTACAGTATCTTGAACTTAATTGATTAAAACTACCAATAGCTCAAATTAAAGCCTATGATTTACTGATTATTTTGAGCCAAAACATTTAAAAACATAAGCAATACTGGAGCATTGAACTTTAATCATATAAAAGCCTCGTAAAAGTTTTTTTTTCACGTTGCGTTTGCTTGAAACTCGTCCGATTTGAATAAGATTTCACTGAAGGTTCATAGACCAAAATATATAGGATTTTATCATTATAACTGGTGAAATAGTCTTTAATTGAAGTAAGAATTTGAAATCAAATATGTATTTTGGTCAAGTAATACAATATATAAATACATGCCGATGCTTGGTGTGAAATTTGTGCGTGTATACCTTCAATTTGAGACCACAATCATGAAAATCGGTCCGGTAGAAGAGCTAAACGAACTCGGCAAACAAAAACTAAATATTTGTATATATAATATTACGTCAAATACAATGTTCAGTTGGAGATTACATTAATTATAAAATGAAATTGGCTTGATTGTTTGTGTAACTATGCATTGAGTACAGTATTAGGCCTATACTAAAAATTGTACGGACGGTGTGGATTATTTTTATGGTTTTATAGCTTATACATTTGTTAGCTACTGCAAATGTATGTTACTAATGATAATGTTCTTAAGTGATCGTTCGTATAAACTATTTATGAGTGAAATCACAAGATTATGTTGAACGTTTCCATGATGCAGTTAGAATTAAATTGAAATAAATTTAATGTTTTCAAAGATAACACTATTTTGTTTACTTTTCTTTCACTACGCTTCTCCGTAACTCCGTTGTTATCCAACCAGAACGTATCCTTTAAGCAAGACAGATAACAGAATTATCCTTCTTGTAAGAGCGAAACAGGACTGCTTTATAAGTGGTGTCTGTTTTAGTAATAGTTAATTTCTAAGTGTTCTTTTTTTCAAACCTATGTTACTTTTTCATTTATTACAGGTAAAAAGGTAAAATATTGATTCGAATTGAATATTAGAGTAAGAAAAAGTAACAAAATGTATACACGCTGTTATTTTGTAAGACATTTTTCAACGAACAACGTAATATTTGAATTTTCAAAACATTGCTAACATTATCTATCAGCTAACATACATAACTTGATATAATATTCACATTAAAATGTCAACAGTTTGTACAGTATAAGTCTTTTTGCATTTACCAAGGTAAATGGTTTAGTTGACTATTTGACGTGGTTAGTACATTGAATTATGAAGAAACCAGTTTTCTTACATCTCAATAATTTATTTAGTGCAATATATTTTGCTGGGTACAGACTTTATGGTATTTATATATATGTTTTGAGTTAAATACTGAATTAACTGCATTCTATTGCAATGAAACTAACAATTTAATAAAATTGTCTGAAAGAAACCCAGCTCTTTGACTCGAAGCACCATATTGTCCGGATTTTCTATTATCCTTGGTCTTAAAGAAAGAGATAAGGATAAAAGGACGAGACCAATCAACCCCAATATCTGACCAGATTGTGGCTTTATATTTGATTCTATTGGCTGGTTGATCTTGCAATTGGTTTTAGTTTTAAATTTTTATAAATCTGAGTGATGGTGTCTGTCTGGGTGTGCGTGTGTCCGTTAACACTAACTCGAGTATAAACGCATTTTTATTAAAAACGTTTAAATCTACGTTTATTTTAATTATTTTACCAACTGGAATAATTGGACCATTGGAACAGGGTTAGTGGGGCAAAAAAATTGGCTTTTCACATTTTTGACCCTCAAAACAAAAAAGGTTGCAATTAAATTCCAGGCCACTTTGTAGAGGTCAAAACATCAAATAATTCATTTTATTGAAACGTGGTTGTACACTTTTAATTTTAAATTGTTATGATATTTTTCAGAGGAATACGAGTATTTTAACTGGGCAGATTTATATATTTCATACAAATTGACATTTTACACAAAGCACACACTTTATTACCTTTAGCAGCAAACCTGAGTAGTCATTAGTTTATTTTTTAAATTGTTGTATACATTAAACAATGTTTTCCATCATAGTAAGCATTTTTGCTAGATGCCCTGAAGCCTTTGTTCTCTCTGTCTCCATTGTTTTAGCTCCTTAAACTTGTCCAAACTAAACTTGCTGAAGAATCTTGTGTTAGCTTGTATGACACTTATGGGAGAGATACCTGTTGGGAAATAGATGTGTTAGATTTTTACAATTATTTATGCATCAGTTGGCTTTATAATCATTCAAATTAGTCATATGTATAATATTCACTCGTAAAACAATATGTTCACGTAAATTATTTCATTTATGTGCGAATAAATAAAAAGTATTGTTACAAACATGATGTCTATGCAATAATGCATAGTGGTCGCCTCGTCGTCGAAAACTCGACCAAATTATGTATTGTGCAATCTTCTCTATTTTCACCCAACACAGTAAATAAAATATGTGATTGTAATTTCTTGATTTTTTTCCATTTGTTTTTATTTTCTGTTTATATTTTTTTGTTGCTTCGTCACCAGCATGGCAGCCCATAAGACCCATGTAATTTTTTTCAAAATTCAAATTAATTTTTTGTGTTTATTTTTGAGCTTATTTTAATTTATAAAAGGATTCTGCTCATCTACAGACAAACATCTTTCTAACAGTATGCGTAGATTTTCCCTGAGATGCACACGAGTTGAGAAAAAATGTTTTCAAGAAACCTGCTTGCTAGGATTATTTAAATTTAACAATAATTGATAATATTTCTTTACCCTTAAAAATGATCTTTTACTACAATTTCTTCAACTAAATATTAACCCTTGAGTATTTAAGAAAATTGAATAAACTTCTAAAGCTGTATAGAGTACTTTTAATATTTGAAATGTTAATGTGTTGTACAGCGTAATCTAGATTACAAATAGTAGTGCCTTTTGCAGATTTGATATTACTGTAATTAATGTGTACGGTTTCACGGCAGAAGGATCATTAGTTATAATCCATCATTAATAATCATTACTAGTTTATAAGCGGTAGAGACTTTACCGAGTTGCATTGCGAGTTTGTACCTAACTATTTACTGTCTACAACCATGATTACATGATGAAACATTGACGATAGTATGTCTGTATGCATGCTTGGCAACCCTCTTAAATCATTGAATTGTTTTTCCCTGAATATGTGTTAATAGTGGTTTAGAGTTTAAACGAATTTTTATAGTTTAACTTTATTTGTTAAATGTTTTGTTCTCAGTGGCGACAGCAGATCAACTCTATATACGAGACAGGCTACCTCATCTCCCTCGTTGCCCTTCTACTGTCATTGGGGATACTTTCATACTTCAAGTAAGTATCTGGCTGAGATACGTCTTACATATAGTGTCATGTTTATAGTCATACCTCTACTAATATACAATTTAGAGTTATTACAGTAGACTAATTAGACTTTCAGTAGACTTAGATTATCAAATCTAATTAACCTACATTGTTGGTTTTGGTTCATGAAGATTCTATGAATTTCGTTATGGGTACATTAGGAAACCTGCATTATGAGTTTGTCCACTAGGCGAGTTTTTAAACTTGCTAGGCCTCTATGGTAACACATTTAAGGTAGAACCTTAGTTGAATAATTTCATTCCTAGACCACATTTCATGCGTCCCTGACAGATCATGGAATTTACTTCAAGAAATGTAAAATCATCTAAGCATCCTTAGTTTTAATGGAGTACTGTATGGATGTGTGAGGTGACTACCTCCATTCATTCTTGCCTTCAAGCATCACCAATACAGATACAGACCCACTGTAAAGGAGAGACCCTTACTTTGACAAAGCATAACACTTAAAGAAGAGGTGATGAGCATCGTTGCCCTCCTCCAGGCAGAATGTTAGGTGATTCTACCCTACCTATCCGTTGAAGGTACTTCTTAAAATTCATGTGACTTGTTAGGAATAATTGACACAGGTGTAGATGTCAATAAACACATAGCTGCAACCCATTTCCTAACGACAATCATCGCAGATGTAGTATACGCGACTCTAGGTCCACCCTCTCTGGTCCTCACAGGTTCAAAATTAGGTTCAGGATTATCCCAATAGCACTACAGAGTCTCCGGTTCAGCTATTCCAGAAGAACTGCCTCTCTTCCAAATGTTGGGGCAAAATTAAAGGAATCTGCACTAACTTAATTCATTGTCTATCAAAGGCAATCAAATCAAAGAGGGAATCAATTCAGCCACAACACACCCATTACAGCTTGACCAGAATCAGAGCAGTAGCTCAGGCTACCTTGAATGCAGCCCTGTGCTGAATGGAACAACTTCTATAACTTTGTTTCTCGACTTTCTCAGTGACCGCTTATAATTACACGCCATACAGAGAACAAAAGTACCATATGACCAATATCTATTGCTAATCTATTTTCATTTCTGTTAGCAGAGATAAGCCAATCGATAAAAAATGTGGCTACAGTAGACTCCCTCTTATCCGGACACCTTTTAACCGGACATCGGTTTAACCGGACTACACTTTGTGGAAATGACATCTCTTTAACCGGACAACGTTTATCAGCACATTGGTTTAACTGGACTAGATTGGCAGGAAGTGGGCAGTACTGTTACGTCTGTTCTCATGGGAAAGATTTGAGACCAGTGATCACGTGTCTTAATACAACGCTCCCCTAAATTTAAGTCGAATATCACAGTAAACTGTCTGTTTTAACGAGTTTTTGGGGACGTCGGTTTAACCAGAAAACCCGTTATCCGGACTGGCCTTGGTCCCAAGGGTCCGGATAAGAGGGAGTCTTCTGTACTAACTCCCTCTGAGATGAATGGAGACTATAATTTTAATTGGCAAACCCAAGCACTCATAGGTAGTTAGTACAATTCATAATACATCTTTTTAAACATATATTTTTTCATATTCCTAATATTGATGTTATTATTGTATTATATTATTTCTATCAACACGATTTAACTAGTTACTTCATGTTCCAGATCACTAAGGTGTCCCAGAATAACCCTTCACATGAACCTGTTCACGTCTTTCGCAGCAAACAACGCACTGTGGGTTATGTGGTACAGACTCATTGTGCCATACCCTGACACCATCATGCAGAATGGGGTAGGTTCACCCGAAGAGAAATACTTTGACGTATGGTTGCACATTGCCATTATTTGTTCAGTCTGTTTCAAAATTCAATTTAAAACTTATGACTCTTTATATTTATGGGTTGATAATTTAGCCTAGGACTAATAATATGATCTGCTATTGTATATCGTCTTAGTCCCATGGTGAATTGTTGTCTAAAAAGGTGGTTTTGTTTATATTACAGTAACATAAATTAAAATATTTTTTTTTTCAAAGCTTGTTTTTTAATTTGCTAGGTCATTATTTTGTAGTATTTTACATTTTTATTTATATTGCGTGACTCGAGACAGCGGCTATTTCATTATATGAGCTATTATTAAAATATTTTACCAGTCTTAGTCTATAACCTTTAGCGTTTATTTTAAGAGTCATTTTATACAAAGCTGACAAGTAGAATATCATGTCAATTTTGCTTAACTTCATCTTCAACAAGTCATTTAATATAGTTACAGTTAGTTAGTTGTTCGTAGAGTCTGACTTCATTTAAGCAGAGTAAAGTTGTTATAATACAATTATAAATTGCTTCTTACTCACATAACACATCAAGTTTAATTATTCATTTTAATTCCTTTACAATACTTCTCTATTTCTGTCACAAGGTGCTTTGTACTTATTATACTGTGCACCATCCCCTAAACATTTCAAAAATATTATACTTAATCACGATTTGACCAAATATGTTCAGAACTCTTTCTCTGAGACCTTAAATTGTTTTCTCGTTTGTTTTATATTCTTGTTTATTTGTATTATTGTTTACATTATTAATTAACTATACCTTTCATCATCTATAATACTCATTCTTTACAACAGCTATATTTTTATAGACAAAAATATTTTAAAACACAAGACCTCAATAGATTAATTTAAATAATTTAATTTTATTATTTAGGATATTTACATAGCTTCATGGATCGGAGAAGTATCAAATATTAGTTCTATCCAAAGTAAAATCCACCCTCGTTCCCACCTTCATTTCCTCCTTCATTCCCACCTTCATTCCCACCCTCATTTTCACCGCTTCTTCGCTCTATCAGTGTTGACTGTGAAGGATCCTCCGAACCCTGAGGATCCTGACTGCCTCCAGGGGTGTTTTCTTTATTCTCGTTTCCCTGGTTATTGCCGTGTCTGCGAGCTTGTCTTCTGCGATTTCGCCTCCTCCTAGTTGAGCGCTTTCTACGTCTCGCCATCATATGTTCAAGTACCATTTTCACCAATCTCTTCCTCTTTGTTTCTTCCCTTCGCTTCACACTTCTCCTTCGTCTTGCTACCATCATTATAGGCGATGATGGCGAATGATTCAATGATGAAGGATGGATACGATTATTTTTCATTTTCAGAAGTCCTTCTTTCATTGCCAGTTTCAAGGTCGGTCTGTACTGTGACGGAGTTTGAATGCCGTAGTTTGCATGGAGATAATCTTTGATGTCGGAGAGTCGGACCCCGTTGTCAGATCTCAGGTGGTGGACGGCAGAAACAACATCTCGCAGTTTTGCTCGCCTCATTTTATTTATTTTAGTTTTGGTTCAACACAAAAATTTTGAAATTTTGAATTTGGAATATGTCTGAATAACTTTTGGTAACCTAGCTACAATAAATATAATAGTGGAGATAGATAATATGTATGTTATGAAGCATTAAAGGTGGATTGTAATGAAACATTTATTCATTTTTATGAGTTGTAACATTCATTATTGACTGTAGGAATGCTGACAATTCACTTTTCAAATATAGAAAAGATTATGATAAGAAAATAATATCTGTGAAGAGTTACACTGACAAATAATTAGAATATTTTAATGTTAAATTTGTATGAGCTCCAATATTGCTTGTTAAAATTGGTACCTTTCTTCAGTAGCTCAACATTATATCAAATAAACCCCCGAAACAAGATTCCATTGATAATAGAAATAAAATTTCAAATCCCTGATGTTCATCCATGATAATCTAACCAATAATACATTAACGCATTCCAGAAAAATTGTTATGCTGATCATCCATAACAAAAAATCTGCCATTTTTTCTGTAATGAAACGCATTAAATTATTTTGGTTTACTTTTGCTTTTTTTCAAACTTAAGGATTTATTTTACAAAAGGATTTGTGGGGTATAGCAGTTTTAATTTTATAAGGGTTTATTGTAATTTTTTATAGTATATCAATTGCATAGGAGAATATAAAATACATTTGATCACTCTATACATTATTTCTATGAATTAATCGAAGCTAAGGTGCAAATTATTTAATTTCTGATTATTTAATAACTGAACAAACTCAACACTCTCATCGTTATATATCTTTTTTTAATTTACTTATAAAATACTCCATCACACAAAAGGGGAGTTTTGGAAGCGCCAGCATTTTAAGAGGTACAAATCTAGATATGCATGATAAACAAAACATCTCTCATTACTATTCTGCCTGTGAGGGTTGTGTTGGGAATTATGTTTTACAAAGTCCTAGTACACAATGCTTAAACTACTTCTCTTTTGTTTTTTTGTAGATTTTTCATTGATAATACTTTTTCCTTTTTGCTATTAAATTGTAGGATTCAAAGCTGAAGCCAGTTTTGGAATTTAGAAAATCTCTCATATGAGCCACTGAAAATGTGTTGTGCTGTAAAATATCATTTTCTCTTTAACCAACTATTGAACATACATAAATTAAAATAATAACTAACTTATTACTTAAAATGCAGCATAACAATTTTATGTCCCCACAGATTATCTTAAGATGAAAGAGATAAAATTGAACTCTTGGCACACTCCATAAGAGGGTCCACTCATGTATTTTCTCAAACTAGAGCTCAACAATTCAGATTGAATGTCCATTTCATTACGGTATTAAAAGTTAAAAAATATTTGTTTCGTCAATCAATATAAGGTTGTGGTTTTTAACTGGGTTTAGCTAAAACATTAAAAATTACAATTAAAATACCTTGGCAGAATAATATTTTTCCACGCAAAGTTTGATTTTCGCCAATATTATTTCACAAAAAAACCAATAATTGTTACGATAACAGTAGGAAGTGTAGCAGTTATAGAATAGCTTACTCAGAGTACTCCCTATGGTAAAATTATGAATGGAAATTTTTTATTATAAACAGAAATTGTACTACCCTATGAGAAAAAAATTACAGTATATTTTAGCTGTCAATACCTGCAGCATACATTACAAAAAGTATATATTTTTTGTTTTAACTTCACACAAGTTCAACAATGGTTGAGATTTCAGTAATTTAATATTCTTATTAATAAGTTTAAACATGTTGTTGACATCTGATTTCACAAATAGACTGCAAACCAATGATAGATAGTGATTACTGAGAGTGTAATACAGATGTTTTGTTTGGGTTCATCGTGACAACCCTGCTTGATTAATGTTCCTTATCAACACAATATGGGCTTACACGATATTAATCCTATCAAACAGCCCAGCTGTGAAATTATACTGGACTTCCGTTGATTTATTATATATTCATGAGATTTTAAATCTCTGTCATTAGTCGCTATAAAATGTATAGCGCCTAGTACTGTTGCAAATGGGGAGTGAGCTGGTCTAGTGGTAGAGCGCGGAGCTTCGGTGCCCGAGGTCAAGGGTTCAAATCCCGCCAATGACCAATGGATTATATCTATGTGATAATGCCGCAACCCTCTAAGGACTAGCATGAAGTAATGTGCAAAACAGTTACGGGCTAGAACTAGCGTCCTAGGATGTGAAGGTGTGACATTAAAAAAAAGTACTGTTGCAAAACAAATTTATGACCTAGAGTTGTAGCTTACTGTTAACAACATAGTAGCAAACAACAATGTGATCATTAATGATTTTTTTAGCTGGCTAGGAATAGATTTTTGTCTAAAAATATTTTTCACGTTCCATATAACAATAAGTAGTATGTTTTTTCTATGCCATTGGAATAGGAAAATAAATCTAACAAATTTAAGGGAATAATTTAGTGGAATTCCAGCCAGGTAGATGGAAATTCGCTTAGTCTGCAGGTTTGCTGCAGCGGAGGTATTTTATATGTTTGATGATAGGTAATACTTTACTGTACTGATAATATATTACTACACTTATATATCTCATTATTACAATTTCTCATTTCAGAAGCTAGCATTGTTAAAGAAAGCATTTGCAAAATGTAAATAACACTCTTAACTCACACCAAATCCCCGTAATTCCCATAACTGAAACAAAATCACGATATTAACTTTATTCGCTCTTTGGAAAGTATTTTTATCCAGTACTTTGAACAATAAGGCGCACCAAAATAACTAAATTCTTCAATCAACTGTGACCCAAACAAATTTATTCAACACAAAATTGTTTAAGCTTTTCCACTCCCCATGTTCTACAAAATTGCTTCAACGAAGGGACAGCTCACTGACCTGAACTTGTAAGCTGATGTTGTTAATGGTAATTTGCATTTTAATTGAACACGTGTTATCATTGACCTTTTGTACAAGCCTGATGGATTTATACTAAACTATTTCTGAGCTTTGCAAAACTATTTTAGGATGTATAACGTTCACATAGGGCATCCATTTTAGATGGCAGCCACCTAACTATGTGATATTTCAGATGGATATATTTGAGTAGTAAATAGATAGCTGTAAAACACTTAATTTTCTCTCAAGTCATTTGGCCTCCCCCCAGATTAGATAGAGCATTTTTGAGGAAAACTCATATAAGGCTTAACCAATTTTTAGGTTTAATAAATTATCATAATAACAAGCCTCTATATCAATATAGTAAAAATGGTAACTTTATCAATAGGCCGCATTTTAAAACTCACCATTATTTATTACAAAATTCTTTATAGTTTTATACAATTAAGTGAATTTCATAATATTTCTACACGATTGTAACACGTAATCTACACAAATAGTTTGTATACGGTAAACAAAAAATGAGCAATGCAGAATTATATTTATTTCTATCTTGTGAGTTTCCCTGGCCGTTTCTTCCTGGTACAGATTCCAAATCAAACCCCTGTGTTTTGTGTGGCCTTATAGATATCCCAGGTGTATGTATATCAACGTCAATAACTTTGCCTGCCAATGTATGAACGTACAAAAGTACACAAAACGCCTCCCCAGCTACAGGACACAAGACATGGGTTGACAGGCTAGGTTTTGTTCCTCTGTTTTGCCATAATTGAAATTTATGCCACCCCCTCCTCTTCATTGCAAGGGCCAAACAACGTTTTGCTCTCTCCGCCAGAACCTTATCATATTAACACTAAGTTAACTTATTGCATTATTGTTGGTACAGAAGATGACGTAGTAATGTATAAAGTTGTAGTACTAAAGTTGTTGCATTTTTGTTTTAGCTTTTTCAGAACAGTTGTTTTCCTTAGTTAGGACCAAACATTTAAAACATAAACGAATAAATCTGATAAAGTTTTTGTTTATTTTTATTCAATATTCCCCCAAAAACTTGTCTCGAATTCATGTCTCAAAAATTTTTTCCCCATGCCCACGTAAACTTTTATTTTTGGGATTTAAAAAAATCCTATTTGCGTCCAAATAGTTAACTTATATTTAGGAATGAGTAAAAGTTATAAGTTGACTATTATTCTTAGTAAGAGAAAAAAATAAACAATACATTTTTGTGAAGTATTCTGGGAAGTAAAAATGTATATCATTACATTCAATTTCAGATGTTCGGATCAAAATCATTACAAAGCATAACTGACTCTAGCAAACATTACGAATAAAGAACATATTGTGTATTTGGAAATCCAATAGTGTAAACCTGGTAACTCCTGGTCAGGATTTGGCCGGCAACCAAGTAGGGAGGTCGGGAGAGATTTCCATCGGATTTAGGGAGAACAGTAGGGATTGCGCACTTCCGCTGGAAACGGGACGTAAAAATCCAAAACTCTTGAATGCTTCACACATAACTGTACTATTTTATTTTTATTGTACCGTATATAAGGTCACCATATTCAAGAAATCGGTGAAAATCATGAGTGTCATACGCGAGAAATTCCAGGCCCGCTTTTATAAACGGGGCAGACTGGGCATATGCCCCTGCCCGCCAGCACTAGGAAAAAAGGGGGGCGCTGCTCTTGGGTTTGCCCAGGGCTCCACTGACCCTTAACGCGGCCCTGAGAAATTCCGAAGGTCTTCATCACCCTATGCGTCCATAAGTCTTGCATGACTCAATACAGGTCTTTGGAGGTACTGTATATCTGTTGCATCCACATCATATTTTTCCTTCTTTCGGTTTTGTACGCTGCCAATGCAGTTAATACTACTCCAACAACTTGATGCTTCGATAAATATAGATTGATTAAATTACACTTTGAAAAGTAAAAAAACAGCTTTTTAGCTAATAATGATGTTCTTCAAAGAAGGAAAGCAACGCACTGAGCTCAGATCGGGCGCAGAAAACTGGTCGTGTAAATGGAACGCTCGGTTGACCTGGTGACAGGGCAGTCGGGAACGGTTTGTGTGAACCGGGCTTCACTCAGGTTACAATCTTCATGTCATACTCCACTACTAGAATGTTGTGTACACAGGTAGGTTGTCAGATCCTCCACGTGGTGCTCCACTACTTCCTACTGACCAACTACTCGTGGATGCTTGCTGAGGGGTTCTACCTTCATACTCTCCTCGTCTCTGCCTTCATCAGTGAGGAGAGACTAGTCAAGTACCTGACAGTTCTGGCGTGGACGCTGCCTGCGCTCTTCATCCTTGTTTACACAGTGCTGCGGCTCGTCTTCGCTGATACTCACCAGTGAGTGTTACTTGTAATTTGTATTACAAAGTGTTGTATAAACAGAATGAATAGGTGCCAGGGTAGTTCCTGGGAGGAAACATGAATTTATAACTCTGTATCTGAATTGTTACAGAAAAAAATTAAATCAATCTAACAGAATATTCACCTACACAGATTTTGAGTGTAACATTTTTAGCTCTGATTAACAGAACAATGGCGTTCTGATCATAGTATTTTACTTGTTATAGATGCTGGATCAACGAGAGCCCATACACCAACGTGTTGATTGTCCTAGTCTGCTTCTCCATGGCGCTCAACCTCGTGTTCCTATGTAACATAGTGCGTGTTCTGCTCATCAAGCTGCGCGCAGGGCCAAGCCACCTGGCGGCTTCTAACAGACCGTCGCGCACACTACTGCAGGCCTTCCGCGCAACGCTGCTCCTCTTGCCGCTGCTGGGGCTTCACTACTTGCTCACACCTTTCCGCCCTCCACGTGACCATCCTTGGGAGAGGTTCTATGAGGTCACCTCCGCCATTACAGCTTCCTTCCAGGTATGCTCGATTCCATGTACACCATGCATTGCAAGTCTTGTAGAAGATAGTTGTGCCATCAGCAATCCTGGAAATATCACATTGTGCCAATTAATTGTCCTGGTGTCTTTAGAATTGAGAAGGAGTCCTGAAGGAGCTGAAGCAAATTAGATTTTTTATGAACAACTATGCTTTGAATTAAGATGGATTAGAATTTGTATTAGAAGATTTGAATTTTGACATTATTATAGCCACAGTTAGTGATAAAAAGTGTTGGAAAATATTTTTTTAAAGAAACACGGTGTGGGCACTGATGTTTTAGGACGGCTAGTATTGCTGAAATATACAACCACACACACACAGTGCAACACGTTTTTTTTGTTGCACAGTGAACATGAAATGAAGTATAGACTATGTTTTAGAAAGAAATTTGTAAATGGATAAGATTTTGTTTCGTATAAATTTATGATGTTGTATTAAAAACGGGTGACTGTGGAAAGAACAAGTCGTTTTGTTCCCATGATGTAGCCAGATTTATAGTAAAAATATCATATTTAAATTGAGGCACTGGATGAAGTGCATGCTGATGTATTACTGGTTTCGGTGGAATATGCCAACTTTTAACCTAAACTGAATGGCTCATTCAACTACAGTAGAATCCCTCTTATCCGGACACCTTTTAACCGGACATCGGTTTAACCGGACTACACTTGGCGGAAATGACATCTCATTTAACCTGACAATTTTTATCAGCACATCTGTTTAATCGGCAGGAAGTGGGTGGTACTGTCTTGTGGGAAAGACAGGTTGAGACCAGTGATCACATGTCTAAATACAATGCTCTCCTAAATTTAAGTCAAATACTGTATACAGTACCGTATGCATTTAAATGGTCCGTTTTAACAAGTTTTTGGGGATGTCGGTTTAACCGGAAAAACCGTTATCCAGACTGGCCTCGGTCCCGAGGAGTCCGGATAAGAGGGAGTACTGTATTTTGTTTAAAAAATAATGTGACAGAAAACAAATTCAGACTTTATATTTCCATATTTTAATCTCTAATCTGATCATGCAGAAAGTTTGTATTCCATTGGTGCTTATATGTTACCGTACCTTGTTTCAGGGCTTGTGTGTGGCTACACTATTCTGTTTTTGTAATGGCGAGGTAAGAGTTTGTAATTATTATTTTAATAATTGCAAGTCTAGACATACATGATATATCAAACATAGAAATAGTGTTGCTAGTGTCTTAAAAGGGTGACTTGCCCAGCCCAGCTTGCTTAAGTTCATAGGGTAAGAATAGAATATTGGAATCTTTAGTATATTGAAAAACATGATATATTACCAGTATAAATGTCATAAAGCATTAAAATCATAACAATCAAGGCACCAATTTTCTTTTCCCAAAAAGAGGGTTACTCTAAATAAAATCTGCTGAATTACAAGGCAATAAGGAATAGAGGAATGTAGTAGGTGATGATTTGATTGAATTTTTACATTAGTAAATACGTTTTATACGGTTTATAGTAAATTTAACCTCAGATGGAGTTGCTGGGATAAAAGTAAATTTTTAACAAAGAAAACACAGAAATTGGAATGTTCAAGTTTACAGTGTGCATTTTATAAATATTTATTATGTGATTTATGAATTCTTAACATTGCTGTTAGTGAATCATAAACCAAAGGGTTGTTTCTTGCAGGTTATTGCCCAGGTTAAGAGGAGATGGCAGTATTCAAGCTTCCGACCTCGCTCAAACTCCTACACTGCTACGACGGTCTCGGTACGTCAGGTTAGCGTATAATGTTCTCCTCTAATTCACGAATAGTTTCCCGACACTCGATTTAAATTATTCAATTGAAATTGCAGTTGTTCCCTCTTTTTTTACTATAATCATATTTTTAACACCCATCTATAAAAAAGAATTTCACCGTTCAAAGTTTGAAATCAGATCCGGGTTTAAGGTGAATAGTGTCCTGGGCTACAAGCAGATTTTATTCAAGAAACCAATGACAACAAACCACATCTTAACATATCCCACGAGCGAAGGCGGCCACCGCCGGGTATGCTATGCAGTGACATTATCATTCTGTGTGGCCCAACTCCTGCATCTTGAGATTGTCCTCTAACTGTGCAGTACAAAACGAAAATGTGATAACGTTTTTTACCTTTTGCTTTTAAAGCAGGAAACCCACTGGTCCGACACTCTCCGACACGACACCTACCGTCAAGTCTCCGACACCTTCCAACGAAATTGCTTTGTATGACTTTAAATGGACTGTAACCCACTAGTCCGACACGACACCTTCCGATCCGACACGTCACGACAACATTGCTCTCTGGGGCATTCTTGTCGGATGTTGGAACCGTCATTTCTCCACTCTGCGTGCATCAGGCCTAAATTTAGTCACTGTCTAGCTTTGTGTGTGATCACAATATGTGGAACAGATATGGTTCATGTGATCACAAGTGTGTGATGTTTTTGTACATTTATTGGTTACGGAGAAAATTCAAAAAATTTTTATTTTAAAATTCCCATGTTATTTTTATGGAGAATATTGTAAAATATTGTAGTTTGCTTTCTGATGGATAAATTTTGATCAAACTTGTTAATTTTTTTATTTTATACTAAGTTATTAATATTTTACTAAAAACCACACTTTTTTACCCTCCCTGTAGCAGCAAGCCTAGGTACTCATAAAACGTTATGTTAATTAAATACATTTTGAAAATCAATTCAGGTAAATAGAAATTCGCTTAGTCGGCACTTTTGCTGTGGCGGGGGTATTATATTTAGTTTATGTTTTGTATTGCACTTTTTGCTAATTTCCCTGTAGTAAAGTAATTGTAACTGGAATTATCAAGGTGGGTCTATTAGGAAGGTCCTTGTCCATTGTAATCTCTCATGCTAACAAAGATCGTAATAAATGTTATGGTCTTTTTTATTATTTGCTCTTGTCTCCCTAACTACTGCTTGTGAACAGTATGTGATCACATGTTCCATTGCAACTGGCACTGTTGGCGTGGTGGTGTATTTCTCGTCAGAGGCTTACTGTCGGAGCCCGTCGGACCAATGGTTTAATGCCTTAATCTTGCGGAAGGCTTCGGAAGGTGTCGGAGACTTGACGGAAGGTGTCGTGTCGGAGAGCGTCGGACTAGTGGGTTTCCTGATAAGCTTAAATAAGACTGTGCTGTACAGTCAATCAACATTTTTCACACTCTTCATGTTTTAAAATATTCTTATCAGTTGATTTTATCTGGCTTCATTCATGTAATTCTTGGCAGTCTTCATACGAATGTGAGGTATTATTCTCTGGAAATAATAGCCATTACTCAGGAATCGGTCATTCCGTTGTTTCTTAAAGCTATACTTTTTCTACAAACCATAATGTGCATATTCTGACTCCAATATACAGTGTGCATGATATTCATTTTACATCAAGTACTTGGTTTTACTTTTGTCGCGATTGTGTTGACACCATCATCGTCTCCCATGGTCACGGAAACATCATCATCATTTTTCGCAATTACTGCAAAATGATTATTACATCCCACTGTAGACATCATCGTATCCCAGGGAATCTTAATCGGACTCCGCAATCGCGTAAATTTACCAATCGCAAAAATTGTCGCAAGAACATTCTGCAATCGCAATAGTAAAAGCTCTGCATGAATCGGCCTATTTTCTTTAAAGGACTCTGATCTGGTCCCAAATTGATTCGGATAGTTGAAGTTCTACTGTACATTCTATAAAGGAATTAAATCATTAGTGAGGCATTGGTTCTTTTCAGTCTGCATCTCTTTATCTATCATCTCTTACCATCCTCAATAGGTAGAAGAAACAGATCACACTAAAAAACCTGCTATGGTGTCCTCCATAAATTACTCATCATTACCATTATGCCGATGGGTATTTTCAGTCTCCCTTCCTCCTTTCCCCGCCACTTACACTGAACAACATTATATTCAAAACTAAATTATGATAAATGAATTATAGTAGTTGGTGTTAAGACCAACTCCAATTCCGAATTTTTGATCATCCAAATGGTCCCAATTGATTCGTATAGTTGGAAGTTCTACTGTACATTCTATAAAAGGAATTAAATCATTAGTAAGGCATTGGTTCTTTTCAGTCTGCATCTCTTCGTCTATCATCTTTTAACCATCCTCAATTGGTATAAGAAGCAGATCACATTAAAAAATCTGCTATATGGTATCCTCCATAAATTACTCATCATTACCATTATGCCGATGGGTATTTTCAGTCTCCCTTCCTCCTTTCCCCGCCACTTAACACTGAACAATATTATATTCAAACTAAATGATGATAAATGAATCATAGTAGTAGTGTTAAGACCAAAGCACTCAGGAAATATATTGTAGGATAAAGAGGATGCTTTACTTTTACTGTATTCTTGTTCAATAGATATCAATGTTATTTTATTTACATATTTAACTTCATCACTAGTTTTCACAAACAATTTTTGTTTTCTTCTGTGTTGTCTCCGAAGGCTCAGTTAAGATGGACATTGGAGATTGAACCAAATGTTTTGGTCAGTTGGGGGATGAACCTTGAAACAATAATATAGCAATGATAAGAGTTATCGGGCTCTGATTCATGGTGAGTAGCACCCTGGGCTGCAAGTTTGGGCACCCCCTTACCCCCCTTTTTAAGGGGGGAGTCTGGGGGTAATGTAAAACAATTACTGTACATAGTGTCTTATAGGCTCATAGTGAGGAGGTCGCAAAGGAGGAGTACCATGCAGTTTTCATTTTGAATTTTTAATAGAACCCAGCCGTCCCTGTTCATTGGGCTTTAAAATGATCCTGACTGATGAAACAGCTGATCCTAAACTCACATTACATTACATACATTAGACGATTTAGTCGCCCGAGGATGAGCGATTAGATCACTAGCGACCATATATTGCCTAAATATCACCCAATGGGGGTGTTTTGATCAGATTGCCGGGGATTTTGACATCGCCCAGTGACTTCCTGAATGCTCGATTTTCCCTAGCAATCAACTCGAGCGATATTCTCCCCGCGCATGCACACTGATGTCTGACTGGCATCACCTGGTGTAGTTGTAATATTTATAATTTTACTGCATTGAAACAGCTGTTAGTTCATTTTCAATATTTAATGCTATATTGTTGTTATTGTTCTATAAATTCAAGCTTCATTCTCACACTGATCAACAAACTCTCATTTGATTGCCACATGATATCGCATGACTAATTGCTGCAGTAATAATGCGTTTCAACCATCATCATTGGGTGACCAAATCGCCTATGGGGTGCTTTAAGTCACTAACAAAGCTACACAGATCATCTCACTCTAATCTGCAGTCATCCTTCACTCATATTTGGGTTAAAATATGCACCTAGATGGTGTCCCCATCATAATAAATTGATCGATTGATTCATAGAGTTCTAGCATTAGGTCTCTTGAAAAAAGCACCACAAAATTAAATGTCTGTGATTGGTCTGCTCAATGCCATGTCATCCCTCCCCTCCCCTATCTCATCCCGTCAGTGATTTTTACTTTCTCCCCCTATACCATAGTATATGGAGAAAGTATTGTTTTCGTCAAAATTTTCGAGTTTGAGTTTTGAGTGGATATATTCGTTTTGGGTCCCCCTGGACCCAAAAAAGTGGTTTTCGAAGTGATGTCTGTGTGTGTGTGTGTGTGTGTGTGTGTGTGTGTGTGTGTCTGGATGTGTACAGAGCTAGAGACCACACCTGTGGTCCGATTTCGATGAAATTTGGTATGTAGGTTCTAATCCATGGTATCTCCAGGCGTTTTTTTCATTTTTTTGAAATTTTGATCTTTAATGGGGATTTTCCCATAAAAACCCATAAAAAACCAGGAAAATCGGATTTTCTCAAAAACGGCCCGAACGATTTTGATAAAAATTTAGTATGTTGTAGCCCTTTAAATTCTGAACAATATGGTACAAATTCCATTTCTGTAAAAATTACGGTTCAAAAGTTATGGTAAATTATGTTATTTTCCCATAAAAACCCCATAAAATAACAAAAAATAGGATTTTAGACAAAAATCCGGTTTTGATTTAACATAGTATGTTATGGACCATACAATTTTGATAGTTTTTTCATTTTTTAGAAATTTTGATTTTAATGGGGATTTTCCCATAAAACTCCATAAAATAACGGGGAAAAAGGATTTTCCCAAAAATGGCCCGAACGATTTTGATAAAAATTTAGTATGTTGTAGTCCTTTATATTCTGAACAAAATGGTACAAATCCCATTTCTTTAAAAATTACGGTTCAAAAGTTATTGTAAATTATGTTATTTTCCCATAAAAACCCATAAAATAACGGAATATCGGATTTTCCCAAAATTGGCTTGAACGATTATGTTAAAAATTTAGGATGTTATAGTCCTTTAAATTATGAACAAAATTTTACAAATCCCATTCCGTATATTTACTCTCACCGCTTACACATGATAAAGGTTGTTGACAAACTTATGGGAGAAAGTATGTGTCAGAATGCTGATACCGTTTATTTTACTCTTAACTCATCTCTCTTTATTTAAAAGGAATATTATTCATTAGATTCATTCAACCCTTCTTCTTTTTTCTATTTCCCATCCCATCATCAGTGTTAAATCATCACTTTATCATTACTTTATTTAAATCATTACTTTATTTAGAAATAAAAATAATGTTCTATTTTATTATAATTTAGTCAGAATTAATGGCCTTTTATATTATTATGAAATTTTTGACTATTGGATACTGGAAGACATCCTATCTAAATGGACAAACTGTCAGCATTTTTTTTTAAAAGAACACGGTTGTGTGAACCAGTCACACACTAGTGTCTAAAATTCTACGGAACAGCACAATCCGTTGATGTAATTGAAATCAATTCAACTATAACGATTTTGATTAAGAACTATCAACATGGGGATGGAATGTCTAGTTGTATCAAGTAAATGGTAGCTTTAAATAGACTGAGCAAAACTAGTTTAAAAAGTGTATGTAGGTAACATTAAAATTGGAAAAGATGGTGATATTTGACCAGATTTTGACTTTTAGTCATGAGATAGCACACTGGTGCCGTGTCAATAAAAATTAGTCAACATAATGAGTTGGAAGCCATCGTAGTTAATATTTGACTCCACCATGCGATACAAATACCTTTACCTCTTCAATGTGTTACTATACCCTTAGAACAGTTCATCTAACCAATAGGACAACTCGAAAATTGCTCTAATATTGTATTAGTAAATTAAACGCTAAATCACATTCAGATAAATAGGTTTCAGCTACTTCCATTAACCTCTTGGAGTCCACGCTCGCATATATGCTATTGATTATCTATCCTGTTGATGGTTTTAGTTTTCTTTGGGACCAATGTAATCAGTAACAGAAGGGTTGTACTTTGCATTTGAGATTATCAATAACCAAAGTTGGCCACTACTGTAAACAATTTCATTCTTATTTTATTGGTGTAATCAACTACACGTAGTAATAATAGTTAAGACTTGTTGTAATCTTAATGTTAAATATTTTTGTAAGATTCCTCAACACCAAGCACTGATGGTATAAGTCATGTAAGGTATAGGCCCAAACGTGTACATGATGTAGAAAACCTAAACCTTTTTACTCATATTCCAATTAATTGTTTGTGATGCTATCTTATTTATTTCCAGAAAAAAACAACATTTGGATGAGGGTTTCATACCAACAGCCTATAAAAAGGTTTGACAAATTCTATTAGTAAAGTTTAATCTATTGCAAAGGTAGCTTTTCTTGCTAGAAATTAATAGCGATAGCAAATAACATTTTAACAATATAATAAAGGTGTTGGGAACCATCAACTTTTAGAAAGTTAGTCAATAATTAGACTAGTGCACCTTACAAATGCAAAGACCCCATTTACCCTACGTGCACCCTTTAACTTATTTAAATACATTACCCTCTAACTGAAGGATATCCCAAGAATCTAGCATGTGATTGCGCTCATTTATCATTATACGAAAATTTTATGAAAGTAGTGTAAATAACACAACAATTTTTTCTTTCAATTAAAGGTCAAACTAGACCATTTTTAGAGTAAAAAAACTTTTATGGTATTTAACAATAAAATTTCAAAAGGATCAATAACAATTTTAAACTTGTAGTGCAGACTATAGAGTTACAAAATAATAAGACCAATGTCGCCATAAGTTAATACTGAACAATAGCTTGCTTCCAATGAATGCTCAAACAAAATCCTTTATTAGAGTCAAAAACCTTTAAACCGTATTTGACAATGAAATTTCAAAAGTAGCAATGTCATTAAATTTCAAACTCTGTTGTAGTGTGTAGACAATCTAAAAACGTTAGTTATCACTGACAGTAGCAAATTTAGGGAATTAACAAAATTTCTTTCTTTCCACTGAACGTAAATTTTTTTTCTTGTAGTTGCTTTACCATTCCATCAATGTAGTTGCCACATTTAAAAATGCATGTCACAGCCTGTCATTATTTTTAAAGTTTTCATTTAAATCTTACATAGTACTTTATAAGTATGAGTTATCGTTCCACAATTACCGTGTGTTTGTTATATTGTAAATTGTATAATTAATTAATTATGTCTCCCCAAAAACGTTAGAACTAGATATTCAGTGAATGAGTGAATAATTTTTAGGGAATCTGTATCAGAGCTATTGTTTATGCGTCTATTGAGGGTGATTATAGTTCCTTCATACATTTTCAATAAGTATAGAGCTCATTCAGTAATTCATAATAGTAATGCTATCAAGCTATTCACATTTTGGAAACTTGGAAATAGTCAAAGGTACAACATTTTGCTTGATGACAAACCCAAATACTAAGGATTTACAATTTACTCATCCGTGCCAATGAGTGTTCATGCTGGAATATACCAAAAGTTGTATAGAATATCTTTAATCATAAATGTGTTTTTCTGTGCAGTTTGTGAGATCAACTGCAGGGCCAGCTACGGGAGAGGATAATGTTTGAGTTGGAGTAACGGCCATCCTTGGACTTCTATGTCAACGATCGCTCAAGCAGCTTCGGCAATCTGAGCACACCAGTTCACCCAAAGGGCTTGCATCTAAGCTGTCAAGGCAGGATATCTGTACTGAGTGCAATACTTGTAAAATCGTGGTTCTAAGTTATCGTTTTGTTCTTGTCATTACGCTATAGTCCTCTTTGGAGAAAATGATGAGGTTGAAAAAATCAAATCAGTAGACTCTTTTTAGTCCAGCCTTCCTTCATAAATTCCTGAACCCATGGAGCATAAGGAACACTTTTTCCAGCTTCAAAAAAATGCCGTTCGCCCCCTCAACTAGAATTAGATTGTTCCTTCTATGGAAGTAATGTAAACTAATTGTAAGCATCATTTATATTAGACGTAAAAGAAATGTTCAAATTGTGACATCAGTAGAACCACTAAGTCTTTTATATTTATTTAGACAATTTGAATCTGTGTTTTTTTTTTTAAGTATACTTAATTAGTGTAAGTACAAAATACTGCTGCATCAGCTGGCCAGTTTTCAGTCCGGTCAAGAGCCCATTCGCTAGCCAGACTAAAAAGAGTCTACCTAACTTTGTTACATTTAGTTTGAACTTTTTTAACTATTTTCAAATTTGTATTAACATCTTGGTTAACATATGCCATTTTATGAATGTAAATTCAGTCCCACTATTACATCAACCACTATGCCATCACCGCCTATATCTTTAGTTATAGTGTAACGGATAGTTTTCATGCTTGGGGTTTTAGATCAAAGGCGGTCTATTTTAGAGTACCGTACAGGTTCAATAATTATGGGAGACTGTACTAATTACCATGGAATTTCTTCATAGCTTTTTGTTTTGTTTCCACAATTTTGGTAGATTAGCTCTGCAAGTGTCATAGTGTTTACTCTTTAATATTGAATTATCTTGTACTTTTACTTACACAACATTATAACAAAAGTAGCTTAAATTTTAAGATATAACTACTGTAGTTTACAACCATTAATTTAAAAAATCTGTTTTTGTTTTTATTACCATACTTAAAAATATAAGTAGTTTTTCAAACATGCATGATGGCCATTCTTAAGCAACAGAATAATAATCCCAAAGTAGGTAGTTTATTCCGTTTACCTATTCTTTATACTTTAACTCAAAATTCTGCAAAATTCAATTACAACTGATGTCTATTTGAGTTCATTTGTATCAATGCCTATATTTAAGGTTTAGGGGAAAATAAGACCACTAAAAGAATGATAATAGTAGTCCCCTATTAAGATGTATGGAGTAAAAGACTTTTACTCCATACATATTGGTCCCCTAGCACAGACAAGGGAAACAAAATTTATTTCCTTAGTCAATGCCTATAGCTATGATATGACACTCTTCTTGATAAGTTGAAACCTCTAATGGGCTTAAACATAGTGTAAGATCTTATCCATCAATCCATCCATAATCTACTTCTGGAAGTTAGTCGAGATTGAGGAAACCACAAAAACAAAAATAGATTCGTGTTATTCCCTAGTAAAATCATAAGAACAAAGACTAGACCATGTTCAGTAGGATTGATGGCATAATGGTTGGCGTGATTAAAGAATCCTTAAAAGTTATACATGAGTTGTAAATTTTTATTTGGAGTTTATTATGTCTGCAATGTTAGCAGGCATAAATGATGTTCTTTGTGTATTTGTACAACTTGCCAACATTTTACAGTCTCATAATGTCCAGAGAATACAAAAATGAGGTATGAAAAAAATATTTGTAAAAAATAAGATTGATATTGTTTGTTAAGTAAAAATGTATAGGTACGCTTGTTATGTTTATTGACGTTAGGAACTTAATGTAATGCATATTAGTTGACTGAAGCTTTCTGGATTAACTTGATTAGTTTGCAATACTAAAATAGAATCCCTACATGCAAAAGGATTTGACTCATGTTGAGTTAGAAATGAAATGAAGTAGTTTCATTAGATCATGGAGTAATGAGTATCAAATATAGCTAATAAACATCATTAAGTAAACCAAATTTTTAATCCACACAATAAAATTAATATTCAAACAAGTTTTTTACATTATTAAAGTTTGCGAGAATAATAAATTTAAACACTTCCATTAATTGAATTGAATTGAATTTTTTTTTAAACCCTATTTGATTGAGGTTATATTTACTATTTCCACAATCAAAAATTTCCAAACACACCTTTACAGCTAATGAAGTTGATTCATAATAACCAACAAAATCTAAAAATTCTAAATCATAATCTCATTTAAGAGAGTAGAATAAAATCACTGCCTTTTCCAGACCATGAGTCTTAATAAATGACAGACGTTTTTATAAGAATGACAAACAGAAGTTTTCATTAATTTTTCTCCTCCAAGTGAATCAGATACTTTGCAGAATCAAAAAATAACACATTTAAAAATGTGCTTGTGATAAAATAATACATGTTTTCTAAAAAAAATGTTGTTTTAATGATGACATGTACTTGAAATAGATTAACAAAAGGAAAATCTAAAACAATATAATATTGAATATACTTTGAACAATTTTGATTTTCCTTGAGATAGTACATCAACCAAATTTATTGTAAAGTAGACATGCATTTTCAGTGGCTGCTGTAGTGAAAAACACAGAAAATATTGTGATATATTTTAAGAGCATAGTTGAGTGTTCTGCTTTGATTTTAAACTGTTATGTGATTAAATATATAATTTTTATACAAGACATAATTTGTCTTATTTTTCCTCCCACTTTTTAGTGAGTCCACCAGAGGGGAACTTTCAATGAAGGAATCACCGGGAAAGTGGTCCAAATCCTTCAAACATATATATGCTGGGGATTGAACCTGATACTCTGGCAATAAGGTCTGAGACGCTAGCCACTAAGCCTACACACTCAAACTTACTCTTATAATATCTATTTACAGTAGGTAATTAAAAGTTGTTTTTTTTAGTTATCAACTATCTCAGATTCTTATCTACCATCTAACAGCAACCACCAAGTCCACCATCCTTTCTCAGTGATTTAGGCTACGGCCACACGGGCGTTTTTTCACGCGGTAAAATGTCGCTTATTTTCACGCTGCTTGAATTCCCGCTGTTGTATGACACACGTGCGTTTTTTTCACGCAGTAAAATGTAGCTTATTCTCACCCTAGTTGAAGTCCAGGAACGGGAAAATGCACTCGGAACCCGCAGTTGATTGACAAATTCACGTAATTATGTTGTATGTCTTCCTAATGACCGACATAGTAATCTTGTTTCTGACTAGTGAACAAAAATATGAATGGTATATTAATTTTGGTATTTTAAAATTATTTTATTTTGCTAACCTTTCATTTAATTATTTACATTTAGTATAAAAAAAAATATAATATTAATGTCTATATGAAAACAACACTAAAATTATTTTATTTTAACATTTAGTATAAAAAATGAATATTCTACTACATAAATGCCTCTTTACATTTTTTAGTCCAACCAAACGCCTTTCCTTTTAGTAACAAATTATTAAGTGGTCCAGTAAGGTCGACCTATGTTTAAGATCCTACTGTGTAATTGGTTAGACCCAAAAATATTTTACGCTATCCTGGAAAAAATTAGATACATTTATCTTTATTTTACTTGCTAGGACGACTTGATCAGAGCTGCGTGTTGCTCCCGCCCGTGTGGCCAGGACAGAGCGTGAAAACAAGCTTCAAAAATGCACCCCAGCCCATTCTTCTGCGGGCCCGCAGCGGGTGATTTTGCAGACGCACCTACTCCGCGTGAAAACACACTCCGGGTGGCATACCTCATTACATTTAATGCTGCCCATATTTCTCGCGTTTTTTCACGCTGCGTTCTTGCGTGAAAAAACGCCCATGTGGCCGTAGCCTGAGTCAGAATAATCTTCATTCTCTACTAGATCTCAGGTCACAAAGGTTGGAGTTGGAAGTGGAGGTTGGAATTGTGAGAATCATGTTAATTTACTTGTGAACACTGATCACTCGGAATTGTGAGAACGCTGTTTAGTTTACCCTTCAGTATTCAATAGTCAATGGTTTATCTGTGATGAACACTGACAATTTGGAATCGTGAAAACTCTCTGGAACACTGATCACTCGGAATTGTGAGAACACTGTTTAGTTTAACTTACCCTTCAGTATTCAACAGTCAATCAGTCAATGGTTTATCTGTGAACACTGACCATTTGGAACTGTCAGAACTCTGTTTAGTTTACCTGTGAACACTTGGTTGGGAGGAGAGGAAGTAAAGTTTAAGCACACTGAAGATACTCAATGTACTCAGTAGTGCCTAACTCCCGCAGACTCAATGTCCCCAGACTACCACTAAAATACCCCCTCTCTCCCAAGATACTAGCCTGGAACTTTTTAGCACATAATTCAGGCTAGGCCTTTTTAGCTACCGTATGCCACCAGGGCTTACCCTCTTATTGCCTTCTGAAGGCTAAGGCCGATCGAGATCGACGTTAGCCCGAACCAAACAGTACACAGTCCAAGCTGGCGGTCTTCATCATTCTGTGGAAAAAGGCCCCGGTGTACCCATGACCCGACAAAAACTGGGTCACAAAATACTCTCGTTCCACTCATGGTCGGATGCTAGGACAAGGAATGAGCCTGGTTGTCCAACGCCTCTAGACACGCCATCCCATATTCCCACTGCCAGTGGTTGAAACTGTGGTCGCGTTCTTCTCTGGCAGTTGTCTCACTGCCTACTTCAGGTCTCCGAGTCTCCGAAGGTAGATCGCAAGTCGCTCCCTCGCGAGATGAAAAGATGGTGATGACACAGGAAATCACCAAGACTATAAAGGCTCGGGGACTGTGTGGTGGGCAGATGGAACTCACAAGGCTCCTTGATGCTGAATGCAGGAAAGCCGATCGCAGAAGACATGCCTCTCCAGAACATATGGGCCCAGACCTCAGCACCGTACAAGAGCACTGATTGGACAGCAGCTGTGGCAATTGTAAGAGCAGGGACCAACAACATTTGGCATAAGCCTACTAAAGGCAGCTACCTTGGCTAAAGCTTACCTTAGCGGCTTTTTCAACGGTTTGTTTGATCTGTTCGTTGAAAGACATCTTGTTGTCAATCAAACACCGAGGTATTTGGCATACGGCTTGGCCTCCAGCTGGACATGGCCCACTTGCTCAGTCAGGATGGTAGGAATTCTCTTTTGGTTAAGACCACAATCTCAGTCTTTCCGGCCGCTAGCAACAAGCTGTGGTCCTGCATCCACTCATTGACTGGGAGTATCACTACTGCAAGTTTTAGCTCTGCCTCTTCGAAGTTTCTGTCTGCATCGTCAGCGTAGCCTTCGAGGTGGGTCTCATAGCGTATTTAGAGTCTTCACAGACTGTCGTAAGACACGCACCAAAGATCGGGCCCTAGGACCGATCCCTGTGCAGCCCCAGAAGTGATGGGGATCCGACGGTGACCTTCAGTCGTGTCAAAAAGCAATACACAGTTCGAGAGGTAGGACCCAATCTTTCGCAAGAGGTAGGGTAGTGAACACTAGTCACTCAGAATTGTGATTTTTGTTAGATTGTTGATACTTTGAAATTGTGGGAGCTTGGAATTAAAATATATATATTTAGTCATAGGAGATCTTTTAGCTCAGAACTATGTTTAAAGTACTAGGTACTAGGAAACAAAATTAAATTTACTCAGAATTTATGGGTTGATCCTTTGAAACTGCCATTTGAAGTGCATGGCTCACCAGAGCTCCGGACTGCACGATGAATGTGGAATGGAGTATTACCGTAGCAAGTCTAACTCAACAAAAGCGGCTGAAATTGAAATCGATACCTAGAATGTGCTGCAACCAGGAAATTAAGTGTGCAAATTATTATTTATTTAGGAAGAAAATTTGCCTGTTATTTAAGTTCAATTATAGAACTTCGATCCTAATACTAAATGTTTTCTCCACTGTGTGGGGTAAAATCTAACTTCCTAAATTAAT